GTAAAGTATGCCATTATGAGTCTGTATCCATAAGCAATGGTGTGCCGTCTGGTTACGTCAAATGTTCAGTGCCAACTGGTACATTTGACGTCACACAGCATAGCACTCTTAGGGTATTCACATGTTTGGAACATGGATGTGGTGTCAATTTATCATCCCTGAGCCGCACTTCCACTCATGTTCAAAAACCGTACTGTCATCGGAAATACCACTTGCGTTAACGGATAGATGATTGGAATAGTTAAGGTAGTGCAATGAATTCCAGGGTTGCGTGGGTCTTAATGATGATGAAGATGGCACGGGTTTGCCAGCCGGGGTAGGAAAAGCTGGTTTAGATAAACGAACTACAGGGTTGAGATGAAAAGCTCACATGGAAGGGCGTCACAATTGTTATTACGGTAGCTATGGCCGGGCTGCTTGTCAGTCGCCATTGTGTTTCACTCCAGAGACTTGATTGATGGGGTGACCACCCAGGTAAGGCCGAGCCTAGCGGTGAGGTTGAATACAGAAGCACGCTTTTTTGGTGCACAAAACGGTCGTATCAATGGATCAATGGATTTATCACAGGTAACAAAGTCACTCTTCACAAGTCCCGTAAGCAGTGAATGTATCAACAAAAACAAAGGAGCACATATCGGTGAAGTCACCGAAGTTTCAATAGCGTATGTAATTTCCTTATGTTGAGATATGTCTCAGTGACATTGGTTAAGTCTTGTAGTGCATGTGTTGTAATGTTACATCAAGTTGGGTTTCGAATTCGGTCAACGCAGAAGTGCAGATGACAGAAATCGGGACAGCGTTCCGCGACTGGGAAAGACGAAGTGGGAAAAGGTGTCGGCGGAATTTCATCTGGCTGTACTGTGTGGCTAACTTCAAGTGATGGCCCCGAAGTGAGGAGTTGTGATTTAATTTCAATAAGTGCCGACATGCATGGTTTAGATCCTTTAGCATCTGAAATACCAAAATAAGATCACCGCGCAGGCGACGGTATTGACCACCGAAAATTTCTAGAGTATGTAGTCTATACTGGTAAGAGAGATGAGTCAGGCCCTTAACATTTGTTGTTGCTGTACTTTGTGGAGTCGCGAAAGCAGCAAGATCATGCTTTTGCTAGGGGTGTCAGATCTGGATAGTGTATTCAACATGTGACCTTACCTAAGCGCTGAGCATTGGTGAAATGATAGTGGGAGCAAACCGGCCAAACGCTCTCCGCAAGAGACCCAAGTGCTCCTTGGTTTTTTTTGCTACTTTTTCGGCCTGTTTTAAGCAAACGAGATCGGCCTGCATCACCACTTCAAGATCATTTTTATTGAAAATGAATTGCGAAAGGTGTTCACCCATCCGATATGCATAAGTTTGCTGGTGGCGTATGCATGTACTCGAAATTTGGCAGCGTTGAACTCAAACATATCCTGAAATGACCTGTCGTGAGCCCCGTCGAGATCACCTTGTAGTGTCATGTGGTCGTTTACCCTCCTGCTTTTCAGCTAGCTTTTGAGATATTCCGTGTAGAGTAAAACGTTTGAATCCATCACTTCCCCGTTGCCGTTAATGAAAACGAGGATAAGCATTGGTCCTAGAAGCGAGCGTTTTGCAGCGCCACATTGCACCTCTATCGGTTAACAGAAGGCGCAACGGACTCTTACCTTTAGGTGACGTCGAAACAGAAATGCACACATCCAACCCAGGATAGGATCGCTGATCCCACAGCTCTGAAACTTGAGAAAGAGGAGGTTGTGATCAATATGATCAGATGCTTTCGAGAAATCGTAGTACACAGCGTCAAATCCCTCCTCAGGATCGGCAGATTCCGTCCAGCTGGCACGGGCTAACAAGATGTTCGTGGTACATGAGTGGTTTCGGCGGAAAACGTGTTGCAGCCCTACGATGCTATTGCATCTTTCAAAGTATCCCATGATAGCCTCTGTAATAGAGGATCACGTAACTTTGGAAAGAACTGGAAGAAGAGTTCACCGGCGGTAGTTGGCAGGTTCAGCGCGGTCCTAAATTACAAAGCTTGCGCAAACACGTATGTGTGTAAAGCAACTGGGTGACTTCCAGCTTGCTGTACTCAAAATGGCACCAAAAAGCACCCGTACACGCCATTCAGCGGAGGTCAAGTACAAAATACTGAAGACTTATGATGAGGGAAACAATTGGGAGCAACTTGCATGTATACTAAGCGTCAACCCGAAAACCGGTTGCAGTTGGTTACCAAGAATGGAATCAATCGAACAAAGAGTGAAGCGTGGTGGGGGCGACGAAGCTCTCCAGCAGAAATCCACATTGTTTGCCTAATATAGTGAGTATCGTCGGTATCCACGGTCACTCTTCAAACAATCTACCTGCGGTTGAAAGCTGCGTTGATGCTTGAGGTGAGCACTAGCACCATATCGCGACATTTGAGCTGGAGGCTGATGACAATGGAGGAATTGCACGCAGTTCCGGAATCTGCGAACATATGAAAGAAAAAATGGTGACGAAAATCCTATGTTTACAGAACAGTAGTAGGGGGATTAAGCTAGGAATACATAACAACTAGACTCAATCAGACAGCCATCTCACGCCCAGAAAAGCACTGTACGGTAGTTGCAGCCGGTCGGGAATCGTGCCCCAATGGTCTTAACCGCGGACTGGTAACAGTCGAGTTGCGGGTTCGAGCACTACAAGGGCTAGATGGAATGTGCACAGCTGACACTTCCCGACATTTCTATGTCTAGACATTGCTGTAGTCGGATGTCGAAGGGAGATGAGCAGTATTGACTGATGAAATAAATTGCGATCACTTTTGCGCTCGCACCAGAGGCCGTTCACCGCGTGCAAGTCGTGCGCTGTGTCAAGTGCCCAACACTCAAGGACAGAACGTTCATCTTATTGGAACCCTGAGGACCGATGGCTTGATAGAGTATACTATCGTGAGAGGAAGTTACAACAAAGAAAGGTGTGCGCAGTGGTTGCGTGGACTGTTGGATGCCGGGGGTTCGACTTTTGTCGAAAACTGCCTCTTGCTCTGCGATAACGCGCCTTGCCACACGAATCTGGAACGCGTGTGCTAGGAGCAGGGATACCGTTCGGGCAGCCTCCTGCGCCTTCCTCCATATTCTCTATCACTCAACACAATTTGGAGCATCATAAAAGCATATGTGAAGCAAGCTATGTGGCATAGATATTCCGAGATGCTTCATTGAGATCCTAAGGATGTAGTTTACAAGACCGAGTGGAGAATGTGTTTCATGGAGCGAATTATGTCAGAGGCACGAGCCTGCGTGACGTCTCAGCACTGCCATCACATTATAGATCATGTGAGGAGGATGCAGATTTTGAGTTGTTCTCCGAGCTGAGTGATTATTGTGCAGAAGTCCCTGATGTCAATGCAGATGCAATTCGATCCAGAGCACGCCAGTATCCTCGGAACGGCTAAAAGCCGGCAAGCACGTGAGTTCACAAATGCTAGCACAGCGACTCACTAATCACTTCGCAGGGAACCCTTTTGATGGCTTTTTCACCTGCGTGAAGGCCGACTACCGATCGATCGAATCATGACACGTTCACTGCGGCTGTGTTGTCTGTAAGTTTGAGTAAGACTGTCGTATTTCTAAAAGCTAGTGTGTGGAGAGCGCTGGACAACACTAGGCGATTCTTCAGCGCTCGCCTCGAACATATTCCCCACTGATAACAACAGGTTTTTATAACTAACCAGTGCATCGCATACAATGCACCTTTGTATCAGCCTTCTCTTTTCCACCGTGTATTTCGTCCTAATGCGTATAGGCAATTCGCATTGTATAAACCACTCGTTTGTCTGATTACGAGTTCATGTAACTAGAGCTGGGCTCTTTCACTCTCTCACACACACACACACACACACCGAATCTTAAGAATGTGCCATTGGGTGCAAGATGGACTGGTGTTCTATTTCTTACGCGTTATCGCATGTTTCGACAGTGTGGACAGTCTTCTACCTTGCACATGACAATACCTCGCTGTCACGCATTCACGTGTGGTCATCGGTGAAATCAGAAATACAGATCATCGCCATTCGTGGACCGCATTCCTTCGATTTTCGTGTTGCCTGATGATGCATGTGTACCCTTGTTCGAGGCTTAGAAAGCGTTGAAGGCTACATAGCAAATACCTTCCATCCTCATTCTGATTACTCAAACAACCGGTCTAACCAAACCCCATCTCATTGTTGCATGTTAACGATCAGGATTCTCGCTGTTGGATTCTGCGAATCGAATTAAGCTCCGATGCTTCGCTTTCCCATATGGCCATTGGTGGGCTAACCCTCTTATGCGAAGATTTTGTAATCAGAGTGGAGAACACTCCTTCTAAGGGCTGGAGCTGTTTGGGTTCGAGCCTCTTCATTCTCACTGTTACCGAATGGCTGGGTGTTAGCGTCTCTACTGTTCCGTCAGTCTGAACTAAGGCTCTCATTTTACATTTTGTGACTATGTCCAACGACAGCAAAAACAACTACAAGGACGACGACGACAACACCAAGAATGACGACAACAACAACACTAATAATAATATCAGTGGCGACAACGGGTAGATAAAGAGTTGTTAGGTTACTAATGACAAAGACTGCATAGCCTCACTGGTCTTGTGGGATATGTATCACTGACACACGTCTCCGCTCATTTCACACAAATCATGCATTGCCGACTTACGATGTTTAAGGTCACTGCTGCTCTGCCACTCCCTTCCGCATCAACAAATGATGTTTCAACCCATAACGTACTCATTTGCATCGAGGAGCTTTCGCAATCCACTTCATAAGCAATTGCCCAATATTCTTATTGGGTCTACTTAGCTTAGGTCTTTTTGTTTCCCAGGTTTCCCCTTATCTTTTCTACAGTGGTCTACTTTCATGTCACCACGACGCTTTTGCGTGAGGCAGTAAACTGCTAGATTGCGTCTCCGGTCTCGAATCCCTCTATCTCACTTTGTTCTATTCCTCTACATAAACTCCCCATCACGCACCTTCCTTTTGGCAGGATAAGTACAATCTTGTCAGTGGCATCATTCGAAGTCGCGCTGCTCCTTCACGCCAAGTGGTCGCAGTCACTGGAGATGGCACAAATGATGGACCGGCGTTGAAGAGGGCCGACGTTGGATTCGCTATGGGCATTGCGGGCACCGATGTGGCGAAGGAGGCATCCGATATTATCCTCACGGACGACAATTTCTCCAGTATCGTCAAGGCTGTGATGTGGGGTCGTAATGTATATGACTCCATCACGAAGTTCCTCCAGTTCCAGCTCACCGTCAACGTGGTGGCAATAATTGTCGCTTTTGCTGGAGCTTGCTTTCTCGATGTAAGAGAAGTGGTAGCTATATTTTTCCTGACAACTCATTTTCATACAAGTTTTCAGCCAAATTTCCATTTCGAAGGAATTTTTGCATTTGGGTTTTTATACCTCCATGGATACGGATGTTTTACAAGGTAACCTTCATGCCTCATACTACCGAATTATTGGGAGCTAAACTCGTGCGTCTCACTTATCCTACTTTGCTGCGTTTGTCGTATATATTTTGCCCACTTTTTCGACTTGTTTGGTTACTTTGCTTTAACAAATTTACTCCGATCATCCAAGTACGGTTGATCGAATCACACGTCGTCATGGTGATAAGCTAAAGCTTAACGGCAATCATCGAGGGATCAGTCACCTTTCGGTTACCTCTAAGCTATCGGCATCCATTTTGCTTCATAGACTACCCCAAATGCATGAATCATACTACCGTGAAGAACAAGCTAGTCTCCATCCCAACCGTGAATGCATGGACCGAATTGTCTCGCTTCCTCAACTCCTCCAACACCGCCACATTTACCACAGACCAACTATTGTGACATTCCTAGACATACGAACTGCGTTTAACTCCTCTGATCGACCTGCTTTTTGATGTTGCTTGCTAAAGAATGAGGTGCCAGAAAACTATACCACCGTCCTATGCGCATTTTACCTTCATATTTCCGGCAGAATGAGGGTCTATGGCAAGCTTTCCTGGCTCTTTGCTGTTAACAGTGATGTGCGACACGGTGCCCTATGCCCCCATTCATCTTCAACTTCGCAATGGAGAACGACCTGTCGACATCTCTAGAAGGTTTATAACATTTTCTACTAGAACTTCTGCCGGCTGAGCGAACGATCGATTTAGATTATGTATATATTTGGAATATATATATATATATATATATATATATATATATATATATATATATATATATATATGGTTGGCGTCATCTGGTTTCGGATTTGCCTGTCACTGTGGCCTCCACAGAGACAGCCACAAAACGCATGCGCCTATAGAGGGACCATGGGTGACTTGCGCTGCACCACCCACAGTTCCATCCATACACCCGATATCCAGTGTAAACCCGAAGGAATAAGACCGGGAGGCATGTGGATGGGAGCCACGTTTCATCAACGGAGCCAGCCCACACTCCTTCACAGGCAAACACAAGCACGCTGTATTTGGGAATCAAGCACACACAAGGCGGTGGCTGGACCGTAGTCCACTCCACACTGAGTGCATGGAACCACTCTTCGAGCCTAGCACGGCCACAAGGACCGTGCACCCCGTCCCCTCCAGCAACGACCAACTGTCTTCTAGAGCCAGTATGGACGAGGTAGTGGGTACTAGACAGGTAGGCACCTTGTCAACATGCACATCAAGCGCAGCCACACCGGGGATATCAAGCAACAGTTAATCATTGAACCGACAAGATGAAATAAAATAAATCGAATAATGCACAGAAATACGGCGGCATAACTCTTCACTAAATAGGTGTATAAAAAATTGATTACGAACGAATCCGCGATAAGTTCAAGAGGTCAGAAAATATATTTTAAGAAAATGCCACAAAATGTGAAAATGTTATCGGAACTAACTACCATTAGTTTCAGCGATGTGTGCAAGTTTATAGAAGATAGTACAGATAGAGATTAATATAAAAAGGGAATGCATTAGGACAAAATTACAAACCCACCACCTGAAACAAAGAGACTTAGCATGCAAACACGCGGTTAGTAAATCGAATGCAGCGTACCTACAAACACTGTGCCGGTTCTGCCTACGTTCTCTGCAGAACCCGTCGTCGCTTCAGTGGTGGTCCCGAGTGGCCTCGCTCATGGCTCACTAGGCCTGCCTGACTCAGGCACTCGCGACCACATGTGCTACAACACCATGCGCTCGATGTCGATGGAGTACAACCTATCGGTGCTTGCCGCTTCTTCTCTCCATATATGAGGCCTCTCTCCCGCACTTCGGCAACTGCCTTCGTGATCAGATCGCGCTATGCACGCCGATCAACCACCTTCGACTCCTCTGACCTGCAAGCAAGAGTAGAACGTGAGCGGATCATTTTGATCATGTCCTGGTAACGTAACTTTGGTTTCCCCACATGTCGCTTCCCATTACTCAGCTGACCATATAATGGTTGTTTCGGTATCCTCGTCGAATCCATACGGCTCACATGACCGAGCCATTCCAGATGTCTCAGTAAAAGTATGCCCTCCACTGCATACATTCCACTTCGATGCAACCCTTTCATGTCCGCAACTCTTTCACACCAACCGATGCGCAGAATCCTTCGCAAACATTGTTGATGGAACCGCTCAAGATATCGCACATCCCGCCGGTACATCGTCCACGTTTCACTGCCGTATAGGAGAATGGATAGCACCATGGATTTGTACACCATTAGCTTCGTGCCAATGGTAAGCTGATGGTCGTTCCACACTCGGTACTCTAGCTTCCCGAATGCCGCCGCTGCCTTCGACACGCGGGTACGAAGCTCACTGTGTAGCCGCTGGTCAGTCGACATCACACTCCCAAGGTAGCTGAAGCGGGAGGTGATTTCCAATACTTCAGCACCAATGCTGATTCGCGGCAATATTGAAGATTGCACCTCCGGTGAAGGCTGAAGGAGACAGACAGTTTTGCTTGTGTTGATGGTGAGCCCGAATTTGGCCGCTGTCGAAGCCAGAGCACTAGTCATGTGCTGCAACTCATCCGCGCTATGCGCAAACAACGCACAGTCGTCAGCAATCAGCAACATACGGATAGTTGTCTCACAGACTAGAGTTCTCGCACCGAAACGACGGATGTTCAGCAACCCACCATCAATACAGTGCTCCACACGAACACCGTAAGCACAAGCCGCATCAAAAGCACAAGACATCATGACATGAAGATAAATATTAAACAGAGCAGGAGCTAAGACACAGCTGAGCTAACTGCAAAGTCATCCGAGGTTTCTCCACTCAGCTGCACCCTCGCTCGCATACCACTGTGCAGACATTCAATTAAACTTACAAACTTACGCGGGCAACCAAATTTACCCAACATCAGCCACAATGCCTCGCGGTTCACCGTATCAAATGCATTAGTGAAATCAGCAAACAGCGAGTACAACGACTGGTGTCGTTCTCTGCACTCCTCTTGCAACGGAAGAGCCGCAAGCACCAGATCAATAAAGCTGCGACCCGAACGGAATCCACATTGCTGTTCCGCCACGTTCAGTACCACAACTTGACTGACGGGGCGGTTGAGCAGGATTCGGGCAATCACCTTGCCCACACAACTCAGCAAGTTGATGCCACGATAATTCGTGCAACATTACTTGCTCCCTTTGCCCTTGTGCAGTGGTAGCACAAGGGCATCCTTCAGCTCAGCATGCACGTTCTCAATCCACACGCGTTGCACCAAGTGGTGCAGTGCAGTCACCAATGCGGGTCCACCGTGTTTCAATACTTCAGGCGGGATCCCGTCGGCACCGGCACACTTGCCGTTGCGCAGCTGAGCAAATGCTCTCTGCGTCTTATCCATTGTCGTTGTGTCCACCAGACGCCTTCACACCGTGCTGCTTGAGGCCGTTCAAAGTAGGCTAGTTGATCTCTGAACGGTTGTTTAAGAGACAGTCAAAGTGTTACCTTCAGCTCTGCATTATGTCTGCAGTCTGTGTGCAGGTAGCGCCTGACCTGCCATCGATCAGTGTCCTCAGCGGCTCCAATCTCGGTCCATACACCGCCTTCAAGGAGTCAAAGAATTCCTTGTGTTGGCGGCGTTGGGCGTAGCATTCCATCTGCTTGGCGTTCTCCGTCCGCCATACATTTTTAATCCGTTGTAGCTCTCGGGTCAGTCGCCGTCGAATTCTCCCAAACTTGCTCTTCTTCCCCAAGTTACTGGGGTCTGCAACATGTGCAGCAAATGCTACATTTTTCTCCGACACCATTGCACTAATCATCGCATTGTTCTCATCAAACCAATCAGGCCGCTTACAGTTTGTGCGCCTGATGCTCTTCTCGACAGCAGCTGTCACCTGATCGCGAATGTGGTGCCACAGGTCATCCACTGTGTCTATGCAATCCACATCACATAGTCATGCAGCCATCGCCTTCTCCAGCTCAACACGTTTCGCCACAGTACCGAGGAAGGGAATTTTAAATTTACGCCGATTCACGGCAGTAGTGCAATACATAGATTTACGAAAATATATGTACAGTTTGGTCAGCACTAATTTGTGATCAATGCCACACTCAGCTCCGCGTGGTTCACGTGTCATGCGCACTTCAAGCATATCAGGCTGACGTACGATGACATAATCGAGCAGGTGAGCATGACCACTCCATGGGTGCATACAAGTTACTATATCACTCGCACTCAGTGCAAACTAAGTGCGAGTGATCGTCAGGCCGTGACTGGCACACAGTGAGAGCAGCCTGTCACCGTTCGCATTCACTGAACCAATGCCATGCGGACCGATAACATCTGTCCACACTGATGCATCACGCCCAACGCGCGCGTTGAAATCACCCAGCAGAAATAGTCGGTCGCTCCTCGGCACAGACCGTATCACGGAGCATAGCTGAGTGTAGAATTGATCACGCGTGTCATCAGGATAACACATGGTCGGACCGTACTTGCTTATAAAAGTGGCAAACTTACCTCTTCCGAGTCGTAGACGAACAGTCATCAGTCGCGCGCTGATGCCTGTTGGTTCACCCACGCGCTGGCCATGGAGGCGATCAGATCTTGCAAATCCGACCCCATGAGGTGTCGTTGCCCACCCAGCAGAATGTGTAGTCTGCACCAGTTTCATGCAGCTTACCTTGCTCAGCGCCACAATATCGATGTGGTAGCACGCCAGTTCCATCGCGACCAGTGCAGTGCGTCGCTCGGGGCGCTCACTTGAGTTCCGGTCCAGTAGTGTGCGCACGTTCCAGCACCCGATGCTGAGTGCTTTGCGCGCAGGCATACGATTGTATTGGTGGGCAATCGCACGCGACGTGGCGGATGTGCTTTGGAGGTTTGCTTGAGCGACATGCGAAACCGCCCATGATACTGACGTTTGGGTGGTGCCCAAGGGGGAGTGGAAGAGAGTGAGCTGCTGCGTTCGCATAAGCTCGCGGTTTGGAATGGATTCACTCTTAAAACCGACCCAAAAATGAAAATTGGCGCGCGAAGAATGGTATTAATTTCTTCTTTATGTCCTCCCATCACAACTGGTATCTGTATAATGGGTATTGCACATCTTGTTGGTATTCCTACTCACCATTTCCCTGATATTGTATGGGTCGATGTTTATTCTCTGGAAGTCACATCAGGTCAATATCAGCTTTATGTCTCCGATGCTGGCTCCATGTCTAGTTGCTAGACTGTTGAGATTACTACTACTTATGTCTCCGATTGGGCCCATCTTCGGCATTTTATGATAAGCACCACAGATAAACTACAATGCAAGATTGTATGAATTAAAAAATGTCACTGAGTGCACGGATGTCACTCACGTTCAAGGTCCCAACTGTGCAGGTAACAACTGTACGTTGCTGAAGCGAATCACTGGTGTTTGAATCTTGTTGACTGTTCAATATCGGCAGTTAGTTTGCTAATCGAGACGATGATTCCTCCAGTTACAAAACGCCTCTCCTACTTTTTTGAACGTGCTGATGATTTCATGGCCGAACTCAACAAACAGCTTGATCCGTGCAGTATCTCAATTATTTTACCAAAATTATTGTCGCACAACAGCATTTGTGACAATGTAAATAACTTGAAAATTCCCATTTAAGTCTCTAGAACAAAAGACCATCTGGTGAGCAATTGCTTTCAATGATTCATCATCAGACCATTACAATCATATGGAGGCTAGAAAGAGAAATCGACCCAGTTAGTTCAAAACCACTTGCACACGTGAAGATCTATGTCAGCAGTGAGAAAACGAATTAGATCTTAGAGGGCTAGTTGTTTGCTACCGTGTCTGACCGAAGGCAGTCGACCTGGGCGTCTTCCCTCTTCGCTGGCCAGGGAAACTAGGGAGCCTGACCAGCTTCTTCTGTGAGCCTAAGGACGGCTGGAACAATCGATTGCATATTGCTTCAGCTGTCGCAAGCGTACGGAGGCGGTAACCTTTTGTTCGGTGCGGTGGAACCTTGTAAACTATTCGGAAAGCGCGTTTCCAATCCATCTCATGGCAGGTATCCACAATTTGGGCCAGAATGGCGCTACTAAGGTTCCGGCGCCTGATACGGTCTCCAACCATTGTTGTGGACCAACTCGAGGCTCCCAGTCACGAAGAGGGCACGAACCAGCTTGACTAAGTCTCTCATTCTATTTCTTTATGCCTCTATGCCACGTCACAAATAGGCCACCCCGCGGTCTCGTTCAACTTGGTGCAGCTACGGCGTGCACAAGCAGGAATCCGGCCAACAGGCACGCGGAGCATATGGCCCAGTCAACGTAAGCGGTTTCAGTAAACACTCGAATGAGGAAAGGGAAGGCTTTTAGCCAAAATCGAACTTGCGGACCTCAACATTGCTCACCCGCTGTTCTCACAAGAAGTGAGTCATACTCCGCATGCACCGGTGATCAAATACGGCCAAGGGTTTAGTATCTTCGAGGCGAACTGGCCAGGCCTCTGATCCATAGGGTAAATTGGGCAATACGGCAGCGTTGTACGTCCCACATGCCAATAAAATCCTGATATCCCGCCACCGTACACTAGCAATGCTCCCAAGACAGCGGGGATCAATAGCACAGCCCCTAAACATCCTTTGCTCTTAAGGTCCAAATCTCGCAGCCGAAGAGCTAGATCGCTCTCACTGTGGCATGGGAAAATCGGCTTTCTATAGAAACTAACATCGCCTAGAGACCAGACAGGGCAGAAACTAGCGAAAGCAACCCGAGACTTGGAGACGCACAAAGAGACCACATCCGTAAAAAAACTTAACGCCGCAGTAGCATCGGAGATAACTAACTTATCCATCTCTTCCAGAGAATGAACTGAAGGGACAAGGGTGGAACCAGCTCCAAGTCAGTCCTGCAGAAAGACTTAGCACCCTGATGGAGCAAAGGTTATACCAAACTGGGTGACAGAGACTTCCAACCTACACAGCACATTTTGGACGGTCTGTGAGGAATCGCAAATTACGGTGATGTCGTCTGCGTGCTCCAAATCACGAAGTCGGTCCTCCGAAGTAATTCAACGCCGCTGAGCCCAAGGCACTCCAGATCACGCTCCCGGAGGTTGTCCATAGAGAAACTAGACATGCAGGGTGATGTTGGACGGCCTTGTATCACGCCACTGGTGATAGTTATCAACTATCATATCTCGATGTCTTGTTAACTAGGAGACCAGACGGATCCATCCAGCGTCAGGTCTACAGAAAAACAACGTGGATAGGTCAGTACACGAACTTTTACATTTTCGTTCCCATTAGATACAAGCGCAACTTGATTCACTGTCTTACGTCAAGAGCAGGTCGAATCTGTACGGAAGACATCCTAGACGCGGAGTTGATGTTCATACAGAACACTACGTGAAAACGGTTATCCCGATAGATTTGTCTTAAGGAACCTCCATGAAAAACCCAAACCAGTGTCAGTGTTAACAGCACCCAAGAAAGAGTTATTTATTCGCTTACCATTCAAAGGGGACACGGATACCTAGCGTCTAACCAGAATTCTTTCGGCCGCGGTTAAGTCGACCTTTCCAGCAGCCTCGTTGAAGTGCGTGTTCTCAACGGAACCACTCATTCATTCACCAAACAAGTACAAGCTGCCGATGCTGACCACATCAGTGGTAAATTATCAATTCGTGTGCGCCTGTGGCGCGACGTATATTGGTCGAACGGCGCGGCAGTTATCCAAACGCGTGAACGAACATTGCCATCGTTGGCTGCGTCAAGGGGTCACCGGGACCATTAATAGTGCCATTCTGGCCCACATTGTGGACACCGGCCATGAGGTGGATTGGAAACGCGCTTTCCGTATAGTTTACAAGGCTCACCGTACCGAACGAAAGGTTAACGCCTTCGTACACTTGCGACAGCTGAAGCAATATGCAATCGATTGTTCCAGCCGTCCTTAGGCTCACAGAAGAAGCTGGTCCAGGCTCTCTAGCTTCTCTGGCCACCGAAGATGGAAGACACCCAGGTCGACTGCCTTCGGTCAGACGCGGTAGCAAACAACTAGCCCTCTAAGACCTAATTCGTTTTCTCCACTCTGACATAGACCTTCACGTGATCAATTCGTTTTGAACTAACTGGGTCGATTTCTCTTTCTAGCCTCTATATGATTGTAATGGTCTGATGATGAATCATTGAAAGCAATTGCTCCCCGCAATGTAAATAGTCTAACCGACGCAAATGTTAAAGGTATTTGGGTCGGTGGATAAATGCTTGGCGGTTGGAGTAAAAACGCTGTTTTACTGAACAGGCAATGACCGATTTAATAGCTCAGCCAGTGTACCTACATCAGCTGCATTTGTCTAGAGACGTTTACGCTTCATAGTAAAACGGATAGTAGGGGAGCTGTGGCGACTACTAGCTAAGGCATTGTCAACTTGGAAGGGAGTAATGATAATGATGTAAGACTTGGTTGAGCTATATCTGTGGAGAGGATAGAGGCTTATGCATGCTTATTGCTATTAGGGACGTTAATATGGTCATCGACGATGCTTTTACTTTCGTTTCGTTCGATTATCTAATTACTTTTCAGTAATGGTCTATCAGCTTGTTTCACCTTGAGACCGTACTCATGATCACATTTTATATCCGAGAAAGTGAACCTCGGTTTACCATTAGGCTTATCTGGTTGCATCTTTGGCATTGGCGCCATTCATTTGTTCTTCTAAGTCAATTTCCAATATTGCGAATTTCCACAAGGGTCCTTGTCTTATACCGATCCTCTACACTCCCTTCTTGCTTTCCTTACCTAACCCATAACATATTTCGATTCCAGGACAGCCCCTTAAAAGCCATCCAGATGCTATGGGTAAACCTGATCATGGATACGTTGGCCAGCTTGGCTCTTGCCACCGAACAGCCTTCTCCGGAGTTATTGGATCGCGCTCCCTATGGCCGTACACAACCGTTGATCAGCCGACAGATGGCCAAGAACATTCTGGGTCACGCTCTATATCAGTTGGGAGTGATTTTCTTCTTATTACTCGCAGGTACGCTCCCCCCAGCTGCCAACGGGCAGGCATTTTGTGCAGCTTTATCTGAACCAACTCATGTTTTCCACAGTAGCAAGTACACTTTCACATCTTAATGTCTGTGCTCCAACCGAACTGCCCTTGTCATTTATGACCAATGTCTTTGGGACCGAGGTTATTTTCACCCACATCCTTTTGAATCCAACGTTCCGGTCTATATGGCTATCAGGTCTCCAAGACAGCCGGCCTAACCCGCCTGATGACCGCGCTTAAAAGATATTCCGTTGTGTTTCACTGCTGGTCAGTTGTCTCTCCCATCCCATCCCAATATTCTCAGTACCGTCTCTTTAACTCTGTTTAATTTCAACTATGGTCTCTCCAGATGGCACTCAAACATCCTTATATTATACTCACTAAATAATTTGCTCTGCATGAAAACCAAATGGTTCTATTTTGTCAGAGAATAGTGTGAGTTGTTTGGTGCTTTTTGGCTAATTTCGTCGCGGTCAAATCGAGTCACACAGCTACGGCATATCGGGAGAAGCATTGAACCACCGTTTCATCCCATTTGGGCTCCTTGGCCTTTGGGTTCGATTCCTTGACCTTATACTGACGATTTAGCGTTTGAACCACAGAACCATGGGTGACATCGGTTGACCACCACGACTGATTTCTCACTGCGATACAGTATCCGTTGTTCTCCACTGTCATGCATGTTATTTACGGGCAGAGGAAAAGCTTTACCCATGGCGTAGTGTCGCCAATCGAGGTGGTATGTATGCTTCTCAAGCAGTTGCTGGTCGTCACGATTGTAATCGTAAGAGATCTCATGAAGCCTTTTTAACCGAGGAATCTCTCATGTCGGCCCTTTGCATACTTTATTTCCATCCACCGCAATCTAACCTGATCCATTGACCATTTCTCCTTATATGACAATACTGCTGTGTGTCTGTATGCCCCTATGTCCCATTCCGCACCACATTGTTCCATTGCCTCCCAGGTCTCCCGTGACGTGTGTCGTGTGTGTGCTCTGTTATGCTCACACATGTGCGCTAGTCTATCGGTCATGTACAACTTCGCTTAGTTTCGATTCTATCCCAGATCCAATCTTGCTTGCCTCTGGACCTCGTCGATGTGCATACGCAACACGACTATCCGATAGTTCATTTTGAAGTTCGTACTGATCCTTTTGTGGTGCATTTCGATAACTGAGGATGACAATATTAATTGATCTCTGAACACGGTAAACTCACTCAAAGGATTTTCTTTACCTGCTATAGCTTCTTCACACTTCACCTTTATCCACAGCCAAGTTCGTTTTCGCATCGTAACTCACAGCTTAATTTCGGTCCACAAAGTTTGTGCAAGTTCTGTCGTCCGGAAACCGTCAATTCGCAACCATCCTGGTCTAAATGCTTTTGAACCGCTCGTGTCACTGAACGTGTGACCTACTGTTAAACCTCCGTAAGTCGATCGTTTAAGGGACTGGACCAAGGTGATCAACACACAAAGGATGTCAATATGCAGTGTTATGCATCCGTAAGCTTTACATTGTGAACGTTAACGCAATGGAAAACCCGGTCAAATTACATAGTTGGTCAGAATGTAGAGGCGGTTAATTTCAGAGTTTTCAGAGTTTTCCTAAACAGTATGCTTAGATCGACAGCACAGGGACAGATTGCAACCGGAGGTTCACTTATCAGTCCCTCGTGAAAAGGTTCCACCTCACCACAAGCAGCTTTGTGAAAGCGTTTGACACTGCGTTCGGTCACTGAAAGCCAGGAACTTCTCAGTTATTATCAGCTTCATTGCATTAAGCACTGAGCCGTGGTTTTCAAGGGTTACTTTATTCCACATGCCCGGTCTTGGCAAACTTTACGTCTCTCATCTTGAGTGAGCCCCTACAAAAACGCAATTTTCCAAAAGCGAAACACGGCGCACGGTATTGACGACGTATCTTTTTCGCTTCAAAGAAGCAGCTCTGGTCTACCTACCGCCTGTTACTATGTGGTACTCTCAGAAATTGCCTTCAGACTGTTGTTAGCCTCCCCTTCTACTCGTTGTTATGATTACGTTGCGTTATCTTTAGCCTCCTGTGGGCTTTGATGATAGTAGATACAGATAGATGGATCTCGTTCCACCTCAGCTGTTGATGCAGTAACATTGAAGTGCCTCCGGAACGCCGTTCAGCAGTCCTTGCAACGCGCTGCAGGACATTGGGAGTCAGCTTCTCTATGTTGTTTCTTCCATAGTTGCACTGACTGTTCGTGCTTTCTCTCCTGAAGGCAATGTTGATGTTTCTTGCCATGCTCTCTTTGACATCAGCTTCGCGGGTGGTTTTGCCGTCGACGATCACAATCTCGGTGAGAATCTCTATCTGTGCCGATGACGTTCGCTTGTACCGCTTCAGCTTCGGAGATTTGTTCTCTTGTTGCTCGTCGCTCATTTTGGTCGTTTTGTGCAGCATAAGGCTAATTAAGCTACGTTCGGTTTGGTGGAGTCACTGTTCCAGTAGCGGTGCAGCTGCATATGTTCGCCCACACACATACAAACAGCAAATACGCGAAGGCCCACAGTGTCAGAGGAGAACTTGATCACGGATCTGATCTAGATGAACGGTACCCATAATCAAGAGACGGGATTGCACAGCTCCGTTGCATTTGCGTGAGCACAATGTGGTCTGAACATCGTCTAAACGCCTTACTCGCCTTAATTTGATAACGACTTGCAGCAGTAGGCCAATACAGTTAGACTGGGTTTGGTGGTGTCATGATAGCCTACACTGATCCAATAGTCCAGTAGGTGCATAGGTTCGCCCACACACCCACAGAAAATACGCGAACGCCCACAGACTGACAGGGAACTACTGGGTCACAGCCTATCAGCTACATCGAGTGCATTTCAGTTGGCCTCTTGCTCCTGAGTCATCCTATTCAGGTCGTGAAAGCTGAACCTTAGCCTGTTAGGGTAGAGACTCCATCGTAGGCTGAGATCCAAAACGTTGGCACATTCCCTAGTTGTTTTTGAGTTGCTGGTCCAGATTCCCTTGACACCGCACGGGTCCTCTGAAAAGCGCTGATCTCCCTTTTTGAACAGGTCTCGAAGAATGATATCATCTCAGCTTACTGGTGTGAATGGGTTAAAGTGGCAATACATGATTATTAACCTAACGTCAGTAGTGACGAGACTGATGGCCTCAATTCTCCTTCTTCGCTTTACTACGTAACGAAAATCCCTGATTACAGAGGAGCAGTCTGTTTTGCGCGTAGAGCGGCTATGTAGGGACCAAATATTCTCTTTGTGGCAGGTGCTAAAGCAGCGCCAGGCATAGCGCAGACCGATAATAGCCATACTTCTTGACTACCATAGTGCGTTCGATTCGGTCGATCGATGCATTCTGTTCAAACTGTTTGCGCGCAAAGGTGTTCCCACGAAATATGTGGACATCTTACCTGCTCTATACTGGAACACTAAAGGCCGTGTCAGGGTCTACGGTGACCTGTCGGATAGCTTACCGACAACAAGTGGCGTTCCTCAGGGTTGTCAAATTTACACATTTTTGTTCAACTTCGTCGTGGATTCCATCATGGAATGTTCCGTTGCAGTATCTCACGATGCAGGTATTGTGATGGTGCCTAGTGATAAGGCTATTGTTCTTGGTAATGTGGACGATATTGTCTTACTGTTTAACAATGTCAGGGTGGCCACTCAACTATGGATAATCTCTCTAGAATGGTTCCATCTTTTGGCTTGCGGTAGGCAACTTCAAAATGCAAAATCTTGTTGCAGATGTGCCAGCCACTTGATGAACCCTTGACCCTTGGTAGTGAGGATATCGCGGTAGTTGATCAATTCACGTACTTTGGCAGCTGCATCAGCAACGATGGGCGCATAAACACTGAGATCAGTGCTTGTATTGCAAAAGCTAGTACTGTCTTCTTGATTCTGCGACACTTGTGTCCTCAGAAAGGAGTTTCCCTCGATCTGAAAGGTTGTGTATACAAGCCCACAATTAGGGCCGTCCTACTCCATAGGATTCAGACTTTGCCCTTTCGATTCAAGTATCCGAAGCGCCTACAATTCTTTAATCACCACTATCTGCGAAGCACTGGTAGTGCCGTTTGGCATCAGCGTGCCTGCGACGATGATGTGCATAGGCGAATGCTTGGTGGTGAGAATCGGACTTTTTCCTTAGAACTATAGATAGCATTGAATAAGTTAGGTTGGATTGGACACGTACTAAATATGCCCAGTCATCGCTTATCGAAGAGACTCTTGTTTAATCGACCAGACGTAAGATGGCACAAGGCTCGAAGTAGACAAAAGTTGACTTGGCAGCGGAAAATGAAGCCACTGACGACCAAACTGGGTACCTTTGGTCCGCGTTGCCTTCCAAGCTGGAGTCCACGTGCTTGACTCGCTACTTTACAGGACCTAGCTCGCAGTCTGCACCATTGGCGTGTCTGCTGTCGTCTTCTACTCAGACTGTCTGTGTTTGGTGCTGAGTTATCTGTGGGGCAATGGCTGATTATGACGCGGGGCAGTGAAAGCCGCAAGGAAGCTGTCCTGCTGATGCCACGTTTGTACGGTAACCAGCTGTTTGTGCCGGTATGTTATTGACTAGGTGTAGGCACCTTGACTCTTATTTTGCTTAGTCCATTAAGGTCTTACGCTAGGTCCCACTTCTCTCCCTCATATTATTCTACGTTCCGTAGGTGATCAGAGTTGTACGGCGGCGAACAAATATTTCAAATGGCTGGTGTACTGCCTTTGATTGTGATTATAATTGGTTTAGCGACCTAACGCATCGTTTGCAAGTTAATGAGTCATGGGTTCGAATTTCCATGGGAATGTGCACTACTGTTGATGAAACGGTCATCTGGCGATTTCTGCTTGCTAGTGATTGTGTGTATGCGTCTCTGCTACAAAGCTTTTCAATCTCGTCCCACTATCCACTTGAGCCACAGATTCGTAGACTGGTGGCTGATTCACTCCCTGAATATTAAGTTTAATCCTACCATGTTGATTTTCGTACATGCGTTTATTATGCACCTATCCTTCCCTCGCAGTGATCTTGCTGCTGGTTACCTGCGACCGCTTGTCCATCCATGACACTATAGTACAGATAGCTGACCTGCATCTTGCTCTCCAGTTCTGCCTGGGACTGGTGACCTCCGAGGTATCCCAGGCTGCCGCACACAGGCGTTTGCGGTCGAACGGTTGCGAAGCACAATCATGCCTGTCGCCGATATCTTTAACTTATTTATCCGTTTGCAACTCCACATTCCCATCTCCTTATTCAGCACTCCCATTTCTTTTCCGCCTCCATTTTATTAGCTGACCTCATCATGGAGGTGGACAACATGACCGGCATTAAAGTTCACGTGCCCACACAACACTTCACGCTTATCTTCAATACACTGGTTCTGATGACCCTGTTCAACGAATTCAATGCGCGGAAAATTCACGGCCAGCGAAATGTGTTCAGTGGATTACAGCGAAATTTGTTGTTTGTAGGCATATGGATTTGCACCTTCTTGCTACAAGCTCTCATTATTCAATTCGGATCTTATGCGTTTAGCACCACTCCTCTCACATTGGACCAATGGATTTGGTGCATGTTCTTCGGGTGTGGCGAACTAGTTTGGGGTCAAGTGAGTCTTTCACCTTTTCTCCTCCTCGGCTTATCGTTACGTATTCCTATTCTATCGACTTCTCGTGTTTCCGTGAAATATCGAGCATTGTCTTCTTCGGCTCTTAGCGTTACTTCTCTGATTCTCTTTGTAATACAAGTTGGTATACTTTCTCGACTTAATCACTGATGCCGCGACTGGCGCCGTACATGTAACGCATTCTCGATACAGTCGTGGTCTACTTATACGAGTGAGTGTATGATACCGCACGCTCGGCCTAGTTCGTAAGTCTTCTAACGCAAAATTCTTGCCCTGGTAAGACGGTCCAGTCAAATGACCCTGTCCCTCAATACCTTGGAAGATGTTTGGGACCGATCGGTAGTTAAGTTAAGTTTAAAATCTATGCTCTGAGCACCGAAGTGCCATGTATGGATCCAGTTGCCACTACTCATATCGCAAAAACCACAATAAGCAACTACGTCAAGATTGTGGGGTTGAATGGAAACATTATGTAAAGGAAATGGAAGCAGGAAGGAAATGCGTTAGACTAATCAGAATGGAACGGTAATTAACATCCAGATGCAGGAAACCGAATACGGGAACGCCACTGACTGTGGGACTGCACCATGTCAGTTATGGTCTCCAACCATTGGCGTGGAGCATCTCGAGGCTCCTATCCGCGAAGACGGCACGCACTAGTGGGACCAAGTATCAGTCAATTTCTTCATGCCTTTATATTAAGTCATGGACCGACCAACTCACGGTTTCGTCCAACTTGGTGCAGCCACTGCGTATAATGCACGCCGACGTAGCCGGTCAACTGACATGCGGAAGCCATGACCTAGCCAACATAAGCAATTAAGATTCAGTAGATATTGGAATGTTGCATCAAAAGGCTCTTTACCAAAAACCGATTGGCGGACCTCAGCATTGCTCAGCCGGTGTTTACACCAGACAAGAGCAATACTCCGCACGCACTGGTGGTCAAATATGTCCAAGCGTCTAATGTCTTCGCCGCAAATTGGCCAGGTCTCTGATCCACACAGTAGCACTGACCTTACCGCAGCGTTATACACCCTACCTTTCAGTGACAAGCTGATACCTCGCCTTTACCATAGATAGCGGAGTCTATAGAAAACCGTACGGGCCTTGCTGATATGCAATGCAACTTCCTCACTGATGCGATCATCAGATGTGACACAGCTACCAAGGTACGTGAACCGATCCATCACTTCCACTGGCTGTTCGGTGATAGCTAGAACCGGGGGTTTGTCAATCCAGTCCTCCAATAATAATTTTCACTTTGAAGGTGCAAAGCATATGTCGAAGCGTGCAGCGCCACGCGTCTGTCTACTCAGTAGTTTTTGCATAGTCACTGCGTCAGACCCAAAAAGAGCTATGTCATCCACAAACTCGAAGTTTGTCAGTCGGTCGCCTGGCAGAGATTTCACTCCGGTAGAGTCTGAAATAACACAGTTACTCATGCTCATTTCGGTCACAAAGTTGAGGAGGAAAGGACATATAGGACACCTCTGGTGAACCCCATTTGTCGTGGGGAACTTAGGAGATAGTTTATCGTGGACCCTTCTCCGATCAGGAAGTCACCATCTCATAAGTGCCGGATCCATGAGTTAATGTATTTTTTCTTCAAGTCAGGTGAGCTGGTTCAAAAGTATGTAACATTTTAAAGCAAACGCGGCAATAATTTGCAACAAAGAGAGATACTGATCAAAGGACAATTTCGGATGTATGTCAAGCTATCATTTTAGATAGTCGATGAGAGAAGATTGATTGGATGGCTGGTTAGAAAACGTTTCCATGCCTCAAATCTTGCTTGAGTAGTGTTGTTGATGGTTCTTTACAAGTCCAGATCCGTCAGTCCACCGATAGTCAGCAAGACTGGATGATATCAAGCATATGGCAGCGTTATCCCATCTATTTCATTCATCATCTTAGCAGCTAACTTTCGTGGTGTTTTCGTAAACACCCTCCTGATGACATTGAGATTTTCGACTTCATGTCCTGTGTCTAACGCTCGCATCGCTACCACTGAATCACTTAGCAGAACTCTACACTGAGACTCATCCTTCGATGGCCGTGACATGCGTCTCCTGTGTTTTGAATTTCTCCTGTGCAGCTCTCTCGCAGTCTTTACGAATGCAGTTGTTCTAGCTAAAGAAATTGATTCCTTCAAACGTACCAACGTCCATCGTAGATATTACCCGCTTTTGAAAACTTCCCTGATATTCTCTTTGGTCAGCACTTTTTGAAATTTTTATCGTACATTCCGTAGTCGGCCTTGGACGTGGATTGTAGGCTTTCTACAGCTGAGATTTCACCGTTCTCTTCGAATATTCGCTGTCTGGTAGGCTTCTCTTTGGGCCGCTTCGCTACCACGCAACAACCACCGGTCGTATGTGGGTTAAGGCTACTACGAGGGTCACCCGGTCCCCTACGCAGGCTCCAACCTACGACCTTCGGATTACAAGGCAGGCTTGTGATCCTTTTGGCGACAGGTCGGGCAATAATAATATTAGTAGTAATAATAATATATTGGGTTGTCCCATAATTTCTTTCGCACTTTTGTATTTTTAGTTTTTTTTCTATTTCAAATCGGGTTATTACCAAAAGGTTGTGGCATGTTGAAGAATGTTTCTAAGCTTTAGCCGGAAGGTATAAAAGGTCACGCGCGCCGGGGGTTAATATACTGAAAATCAAAATGGATCAGCGGCAGTTGCGTTCGATTATATTTTATGAATACAAGTTGGATACCAGTGTAATGAAGACGACCGAGAAGATCAACTCTGCATTCGGGCCAAGCACTACTACCGATCGGACTGTGAGCCACTGGTTCAAGCACCGATGTAGACGATACGAGCTGTGAAAGTCAACCTCATTCTGGCCGGCCAGTGACCTTTGACGAAGGCGCTCTGCGCCACGAGATGGAAGGGCATCCGGATGCTAGTACCAGGGATTTGGGGCAGACACTTGGATACGGCCGTAGCACCATCGCTCGCCATCTAAATGAAACGGCATACTGCAAATTGGTATCTTGATGGACACCTCATGCATTGACCGATCACGACTGCGCTGCACGCTTGACCATTCGCGAAAGTCTGCTGCGATAGCACAGGCAGGACTTCCTCAATTTGATCACCACTGGAGATGAGTCCTGAGTGTACTACGCGCCACACCTACTTGCTGCCTTGCGGCGAAGGCCCGCCAGCTCATCCAATCCCGAGTTCCATGCTCGGAAGATTATGCTCTCGGTTTTCTGGGATTGTCAGGGCGTACTGTTTTGGGAACTGCTCGACAACAAGCAGAAAATCAATGCCGACGTCTACGGAGAGTAACTCCGGAAGTTGACCGCAGCATTGCGAGAGAAGCGTCCGAAACGACTCATTGTCGCCCTTCTCGAGGATAACGCTCAACCTCACATTGCAAAATCGATTCGCCACCTCTTGGAGAACCTGGGATGGATCACGGTACCATGTTCATCATGTAGCCCTGATATTGCTCCATCGGATTATCATCTCTGCCGCGCCCTGAAGCGGCATCTACGAGAGAAAATATTGATAACTACAGCTAGTTCAAAAGTGACCTCGCCGACTTCTTCTATCACCAGTCTCATTCTTTCTGGGAGGAAGGCATCCAATCTTTGCTCAGTAAATGGTTACACATCATTGATCATGATGGGGATTATATTGTTGCTTAATTGATTTCTTTGCATGACTAACAATTGAATTGTAAAACAGTGGGTCCCCTTCAGCCATTCATTCAGAGCAGTGCGAAGGCATACGTTGCGATATATCAACATTTCGGTTGTTATCATCGGTCGCAAACACACTACAAGCGGAATACATAGACAGTTATAACTGTCTATGTATTCCGCTTGTAGTGTGTTTGCGACTAGTGGGAACAATCGAAATGTTGATATATCGCAACTTATGTCTTCTCACTACTCTGACGAAACAATTGAATTGACAAAAGTGTCGAAATGTGAAAGAAATTATGAGACAACCCAATACATGTATTTCTAAATGGTGTGTAAGTGTCCCTAAAGCAGGAACAAATTAGTATGTACAGGAATGATCGTGCTGTTGCGTAAGCGAATATTGACTCCGTCTTTAATTCCGTAAATATTTTCGGTCCATTCTGGAATATTTCAACAGGTGCTTTTCCGGATGAGAACATGATTGATACCACATTCAGATCAAAGAAACTAGGGAATTTGGCGTGTAATACTTTAGAGTTTTCACGTGCCCTGACTACGGTTAGCAGGCTGTTTCACAAGAAGGCGGGTTCGATGAGGAAAAGTTTAGAGCGCATGGTTGTTCTAGCGCTTGGCAGAAGTGGCGTATTGTTTTTGTTACGGAGTCTGACGGGTGTTTTATCTCTAAATTAGGCAGATAGGAGTACGTGATGTACCGAATCGTGTAGGTGAATCAAGTTTTGTTTCAGACGTCGCAGCCAGATGAGTTAGAGGTGAAGTTGCTTTCAACTTTCACGGTAGTTTGAGGTAAATGTATCATTGAGCAAACGTTGGGAGAATGACCTCTATATTTTTTTCATGGGTTTCCTGTCACTCATGCGCCTGCTATCATGGAGGAACTTGCAGTATTCAAGAAAATGACGGGCGAGCGTTCTGAACAGCTCGAGTTTGGCAGGGGCTGTATAGATCTTTGACATGTTAGTCACGGATTGTCGAGCCCGAACTATTTTGTATTGGGCTCATGTGGAAAAACGGCAGTTGGAAGAAAACCGGATTCCGAGACCGCGGTTAGACTGCTGTATGCACACACTTTTATTGTTGTGTTGGACTGACCGCTTAGGGATCGAGCGAACGTAGGACAATGCTTGATTTGTCAGACGAGAATATCATCAACCACATGTTGCACTGCCCCGGGCTCTTGGCATTTTTTAATCGACTGATCCCACATTGTTTCTACGTGTTTACGTTTCCCGATAGAACTTTGCCGGGTTTTTCTCTCCGTCGTGTACCATCTGTTTTCTGACCGCGCTACCGCTTGCCCCCACTTTTTGCTAATCCCTCCTCTCTCATATCCTTCTCAAGATAATTACCACCGTTCCGAACGCAATCATACCGACGTGTAAGTGTTGCAAACGTCGGAAGCGTGTCAGCGGAGTAGCCGAAGCACCTCCGAGCGACGAAGAAGATGAAGATGAGGAACGGGAATCCGATACTGTCGGACGCCTCCCGACCTCCGATGACATAACGTTGGGTGGCAAAATCCTGTGGGTTCGTGGTGTCAACCGCATTCAAACACAGGTATGTGTGCAGCGTTTAGTTCGCTCTTCTCTGCACACCACTCAGGATGTGCCTGTCTGCATGTACCTCGACAACATCCTTTTTGGTGCTCTCTAACCATCCGCTTTCCCCTCCTGTTCCATCTCATCTCGACAACTTGCAGATGCAGGCTGTAAGTGTTTGCACGGGAACGGTATTATTGCCCTCGGGTTCCATGCTAATTTTACGTTTTTCTTTCTAACTATTTTCTTTCTATGTGTGTATGTGTGCTCTGTGCCTCTGACCTTGATCAATTAACCAGGCTGTTAACGTTCCCCACCTGGCCACAGCACCTGCCTCTTTGTGTCGCTACGACTCTGTGTTCCCTTGTTTTTGGCTGCTCTCCATGTTTCACTGCACCGAGCAGATGTGTGCGTGCTGGCGCTGCCGCCGCTGCACACACGAGATCGCTTCCCTTTATCCGTTGTGTGTCTGATGGCTATGTGCGCGCTATTCTGTTCAAAAGTGAACGCATGACGACTCTGTGTGTGCTCCGGCACTCGACTGCTGTTTCGCTGTTCGTTTGCCAAGCTCATACAGCTCTCAGTGCTTGCTCGACGCGCACATTAGGTCTCGCAGACCTTCCGTGCGCGCGTGCGTGCGTGTGTGTCCGCGTGTTGTCGTCCTGCATACTTTTTCGGTGACGGTGATCTGCCATGGCGTGTTTTGTTGCACGGCTCCCCTAAATATCGTTTCACTGATCAATATCCGTCCGTCTTGATAAGTGGATTGCTCTGTAGCTTGGTTTACAGATGCCTGTCTGGTCCAGTCGGAGAACGCGTTTTGCATGCTCATCACATGTATGTGTGCACGCATCTCATAATGGATTCATAAATACATGCCTTCGGTTGAAGTGATCCAATTTGAGACCCTGCTCACTCAGTCGACCGTAACCTTTCAGCGTCAGCTCGCACACACACACACACACACACACTGTGGCTTCGCTGCTTTCACATCATCGTAGGACTGCACAATCCACTCTCAAAACGCCCTACCATGCCCTAAACTGTTCGTACACAAGAGACAAGATTACGTCATATGTCTAATATTTCACATTTACATTTTCTTTGTTCTTTTACTCCTCCGTCCATTTAACCGTCTGGTGAAGCCCTCTGCTGTCAAGCAGGTATTCTTTTGCTGTGGCCATATTTCACTAACGCTATTGGTACCCTCTAAATTTCCTCGGTGCTCAGAGCATTTAGCCGACGGAATTGGGACACCGATTCCAGCTACAGTTACATCATTTCTACTGGTTTTTAGATGTTAGGGGATGCGCATGATTGGAACAAGGTACTCTACCATTTGAGCTGAATATCGGCCTAATTGATTTTAATAACTGTTAATCTAACTTACTTGCCGCAGTCGCATTCGGAGATTACCGCTTCGTCATGCCCAAAGTTGTGGAGAATTTGGTACTGCCCTACTCGTGAGATATGAGCCAACAAGTCGCCGGTTTCAATCTCTGACTTGTCACCTTCACTCATACTGTTCATTTGTGGTTGCATTCGTCACACTGTGCTGCACTAAAAAGGGACAGCGTTAATACACACGACACTCCTTGCCATCTACAGTTAAACCTTCGAAGTTAACCACCTCTCTAAATTGAGCTTTTATTTTTTCATTCACCATTTAAACCTTATTGACCCAAACCTCTGTAAGTTGACCACTTTGGTCCAATCCCTTGAGTGGTCCATTTACAGAGGTTTTACTGTAGTTTGTTTTAAAGTTCACTTTCATCGATATTGTGTCGCAGTTCGTTTGAAAAAGACATCTTTCAGTCTGAGTTCATTAACTGATCAGGGCGCTATGCTAACCCTGATTATCGCAAACGTAAATCTTTCACAGACGAGCGGTTGATTCAACAGATTAATAGGCGAAAACATCTGCGCCTCTGACTCACAAATCTTCCCAACTGATTGGAGACGTTATCTGTTCTCTAGTCTATATTCTCTGTTCACTTCCATTAATAACGATGTTTTTGGGCCTATGAGTTTTTTCTTTGAATCAATCAAGCAAACTGCGCATGCAAATGTCAACCAATTAACGGAGCTGCGTTGGTGCGCTATCATGCACACGGCATACAACAACAGAATTCTGTAGTTCCGCCTCCAATGGCATACATGGCTCGCTCCTCTTGCTCATCCGGTTTGGATGGCTTCATCACGCCCACCAACCTTTCCTAGTACTGAGAAGGTGTGACACGCAGGTGACCATAGCCGGCTGGATAACCCAACAGTTAAACACAGGAGAACCGATGCAGAAGTGATATCGACTTGGTGACCCAAAGCCTTTAGCTTCCGCAAATGATCGACCTTCATACATCCGTCCAGGACAACGACGCCCATCAGTCCAGCTAAATCTTCCGTTCTGACGCAAAATATATCGAGCGGAACACAATATAATGGGTATTTGTCCGTGAGTGACGAACGATGCAGCTACACAGAGCAAGCTCTACTCGCTGCTTCTAACCAGTATACAGTATTCACACCTTTTGCCTACCTAACCCGTTGGCCATCAAGCGACTTTCATCTGCCAGATCCGATGTGGCGTTATGCAACAAATCCGAGTCTGCACTCCTTAATTGATTTCCAGTAAACAGCAGATTATGTACACTTCGCCTCCAAGCTCCGTACAGAATTAACAGACATCACGCGGGTAGGCGCAATTTGTTTGTAGTTTCTGCTTACGCGCCAACCGATTTTAGCTCTGAACTGAACAAGGATATTTTTTACCACCATCTTCATCAGCTATTACGCAAAGCCGCCAAGTCCGACGTCATTGTCCTCGCTGAAGACTTCAACGCACGTGTCGGTCGACTGTTACCAGGTGAATATCACCTCGGAGGTCATTATGCACTGAACGCAAATCGTTCCGATAAGGGAACCAGACTTTTTAATTTGTGCGAACACAGCCTATTTCTCGCAAGCACAAACTTCAGACATTCGAGGCGTTCTGTTACCTGACCTCCTGCTTCACCGTCGCAGGCCTGGTCCCAAATAGATCACATTGCAATCAGTTTCAGGTGGCTTGGTAGCATACAGGTTACTTTTGTCTTCCTACCTCGATTCAGGTCACCCACTGGTCTGTGCCAACGTTTACATGCGATTCGGAGGAAACCAGAAACGGAGGCTCTGTAAGCCTGATACGAACGGGCTAGCTGGTCAGTCAGCTCAGCTAGACTATCAACTGTCACTGACAAGAACTCTAGCCTGTACACACTGATATTGAACGCCACTGGAAGTTCTTGCAGCAAGCAACGCTAACTTCAGACCAATCAATCTATCGGTTATGTCATCACGCGTTGAAGGATTTGGAGATCGGCGCGCTCCCTGGCTCTGTTTGACTGCCGCCGAGCTCTCTCAGTAAACCCAGACTAGAATGAAGTTGGCCGTACTATCAGCAGGCAACTCTAACGAACCTTCGCAGCGATCGGGAAGTTTGGTGCTCCAAACGCGCCTTAGAGATGGAGGCCGCTGCCCTCACTGGAAACACCCGCAAGCTGTTTCAGCTCATTCGGACCACTGGACACAGGAGGTCTGGTATCAGCGAGGTCATCTGTGAGGCGGACGGGTCAAAAATTACTTATTTGCAGAGACGCATGGACAGATTGGCTGAGCACCTCCAGTCTCAGTTCAGTTGTTCCTCGCCATCTATCTTTACACCAGTACACCCAGTTGCATCCATGGTTTGTGCCACTCTAACCACCAACCGAAGCGGAGGTTTGTCTTGGTTTTCCTCACTTGAAGCGCTTCAAGGCGGTCAGCTCAGATGAACTTCTCTCAGAGTTGTTCAACTACGTCGGTACAGCGGTCGTCAAGAAGCGGACATCTCCGTTTCTGAAGATCTGGCAGGCAGAATGGGTTATCTCTTCCTGGGGAGAGTCAATCATTGTTCCAATCTTCAAGAAAGGCTCCCATACTTCGTGCGCTAATTACAGGAGCATCAGTCTGATATCTATTGCCTTCAAGCCACTACCGTCCATCATGATCCGCAGGCTATCCCCCACTCGTGAGTCACACTATCGGGAGGAGCAGGCTGATTTTCGCCCCGTTTGAGAATGTGTGGATCAACTTTTCACTCTTCCCGAAATCCTGAAGCATTGTCACTCGTATCGCAGACCCATCTCCGTTACTTTCCTGGATATTCGGGCTGCGTTCGACTCGCTAGATCGACCTGCCTTATGGAACTGCCTGCTGAAGAATAGAGTTTCGGAAAAGTACGTCGCTATACTTTGCGCGCTATACCTCCACACTACAGTCCGAGCGAGAGCCTGTAGCACGCTTACCCCACTCTTCCTTGTCTCCAGCGGCGTGCCACAAGGATGCCCAATGTCACCGTTTCTATTCAACTTGGTGATCGAAGATGTCTTTTTGGGAGTTTTAGAAGGCTCTCGGGACTTCGGCGTTGAGCTTCTTCCATGTAATCGCGCGACCGACTTAGACTGCGCTGATGATATCACCTTGCTTGATGACGACCCTCATGGGATACACTCGATCATTGACCGATTGGTGATTGAAGCGTCTAAGTGCGGTATGTGCTTTGCCCCCTCCAAGTACAAGGTTCTTTTACAGGACTGACGGGCACCCCTTCCCCAATTCACCATGGAAGGTACACAGTTCGAACACGTAAGTAGTTTTATCTACCTAGGAGGCCTTGTTTCTTTGGACGGTACTATTGAAGCTGTGGTATCCCTTCGAATCGTTAAAGTCCGGTTAGCGTTTGCCAACTTATGGTGCCGTCGCGACATTTCACTCTCGCTAAAGGACATGGTTTACATAGACTGTGTACGCACCATATTGTTATATGGATGCGAATCCTCGCCAATCTGTGTGGAAGACGTGCATAATCTTTCGGCCTTTCACCGTACCTGTTTGCGCAGGATTACTCGCATGTGTTGGCAACACCGAGTGCTCAATAATAACGTTAGACAGCGTTTTGGGCAAGGCGGATGTTTCACTTTGCGATGTCGTCCGGCTGCGTCATTTCAGATGGTTTGGCCACGTCCTACGCCTGCCTAACGAGCATTTATCACGCAGCGCGCTGTTTGCGCACGCAGGGAAAAGATCGCGTGGAAGTCAGTCGTCTACCTGGCGACAATGCATGAAATCGATGGCATTTTGCCTTGACTATCGC